ACATATACATAAATATATATTGTATATATGTATACATACATACCTACACACACACACACATATATATATATACAACACACACACACACACACATATATATATATATACAAACACATACACCCACACACACATATATATATACACGCAACATATAGATATATACTTACATACATAATACACACACACATATATATACATATACATATTATATATATATATATATATATATATATATATACATATACATATATTTATATATATATTTATACACACATATATATATACGTATAGAAAAAACATGAAACATCTAAAGACATTGTCAAAAATTCAAAGCATTTTCAAATTCAGACATTCCATCCCGATGGTATTCAATAATAAGCGTTCACAAACAATATTGTTTATATGTCCAATATACATGGATTGTAATGTCATTGTTATGAAGTGAATGTGAATAAACATTAAACATGTCCAATAGTACATCGTAAAGCACTTTGGCGTTTATTACCGCCATTTCCTCCATCTCACCATATTTGGCATCTGTTCGTACCCACGGGAGATGGGGATATAAATAGTGGTCGAAATTCTAACGAACAGAAAAGGGTATATACTCTCAGAGCTTGCGAAGGCAAGGATAGACTGAAAACCCTACAGGTTGTTGCTATCCACATCTCTGTGTGCGTGTGAATGTATCTGTGCAATCCTTGTACACATATGACCAATCGTTCCCAGTACACGCACAAGTCTGTCTATATGTGCAGGGACGTGGTCTCTACACTCAGGGGGCGAGTGTAGGTAGCTTTCAGGCGTCTTCCTTCACTACAATAACCGGGATATCACTGTGGTGCACACAGTAGTCGCTGACACTGCCAATCAGAGCTCTGTGTCGCAAGAGAATAGTGTATGCATATGTTAGGTGCAATGTATGGGCTAGGATGTAGTTCACATAGTAGGACAAACTGGAAAATACACCGAAGCTATCATACGTACTTGGGCATGGACATAGAAGCAATGACGAAAGCTAGTACTGATAGTCTGTCCTAGCACATATTATTATGGTAACTGTATTGCATTAGAATAATTGCGTACAGCAGCCAATGGTAGTCAAACAAAGGTCAATGATACTACTTAGTCACCTGATACCCTGTGATAAACATATACAAATATCAGACGTGTGGCAGAGAAATGTGGAGAGTCCCGAGACCAAAAGGCTCAGACTAAAACCATGCACACACAGGTTGTGCTAGATACAATACAACAGCCCAAACCCCAACGCCGCACACCTATAACACACGCACAGCTCACACCGGGCACTAGGTTAAACACACACAAGTCTCACTCAGCTACAGAGTCCGTCGGCTAGCATCTCATGCACGCGTATAGATGTGATCTAGTCAGTGGCATATCACAATCACCCCCACTGGTTGGGCCGAACGGGCAACAGCCGTACCTTTTGATGGCTCCCATTCCTCGAGAGCCTACTACCAGCATGGCGCATTGCTTGTCATTGACGAATTGGCACAGTTGGGTTCTGGGGTCACCCTGTGCAAGCTCACACGTGTGCGGGATCTGGTAGACACGGGGTTTTGTTAGACGGTGAGTGTTGGTACAAATTTATCGGGAGCGAGTGCAGATAAGATAGGACATGCCTGACTAGAGACACACATACAACTTGCGAGTTTGTCTATTCGTGCTGCCGTATGCAACTTCCTTTATCACATATGCTGTTACTGTTATAGTTCTAAAATCATTTCACATGTCTGCTAACCACCGATGACGCCCCAGACGGGTTTTAGCTTCCAACAGCTGGTGTCGAAGTTGGAAATTTCCTTATATATATATAATAATAATAATAATAAAACAAAATATAGAATAATATATATATATACATATATATATATATATATATACATACATACATACATCATACATACATCATACACACACACACACATATATATAAATATAAATATATATAAATATATATCTATACATACATACACATTATTATTTGCGCAAGTATTGCCTAACCTATTACCATCCATACCTTACTACCTAATTTTAAATAGACATACACGAGTGCTATTTCACACCACACATCCTCAACCCCTCACCTTCTTGCTCGTAAGTAATTTCCCGTATGTCTTGAGGGTCGTCTCAGCCGCATCGATCGCTTCGTCTCTGAGCTGTTGCAGAACATCAACAGCCGCACCCGCAGCGCCCAGAGACGCCCATGAGGTGTTGTCCAAACTCAGAGTGATGTAGATGTGGTCGCCTTCTCTGTAGAGGTGGTCCACTGTCCATTGTAGCGCTTTCTGTAGATACAATGGGTTAAGGTTTTAGGGTTGTACGTATATCGCAGGTGCCTCGCTATACTTGCTGTATAATACATGTATACTGCTAGTCTAAGAAAGTATGTGTTCGAGTGCGTGATGTAAATATAATGCATTTGTTTGGGTGAGTGATGTAGATATAATGTATTGTTTTGGGTGAGTGATGTAGATATGATCTCTCGCTGTCTTTATGGAGATGGTTGATGATTGCTGCAACTCATTCGACAGAAGGGTTACAGAGCTATTAAATCCGGAAAGGTTTGTTCAAAGCTAGCTTGGTGCGGATGTGACTGTCATATCTACCCCGATAGTCAACTGATACAATACATCGCTGCCAGATTAGTAAAGTGAGAGGAGTATTGTCCTGACCTGCATTGGTGTACATGTTCACTTCAATTTTTAGGGCCGATGATCCATTGCAATACATTCTGACATAGACAATCATAAAGAACACTTTAAAATAATCGTATATATACAACACTATAACAAACCTAATGACTTTCACTACTACTTTGTGACAATAGACAATACAAGGTACATACAACACAAAATCTCTGTCCTGTACAGAAGTAAACGAAAAGTATATATATTGTTTAGTAAATTGAAGAGAAAACATTTAGAAGACTACTAGACCGCAAGTACATCAAAAAAGCGTGAACACACACACACACAGACTATATATTTATATATATATATACATATACATATACATATACATATATATATTTATTTATATATATATTTATATATATATACATACATATATACTAGCTCGAGAATACATCAAAAAGCGTATACACCCACACACACATATATATATATACTAAATATATATGTAAATAATTATACATACATACATATATATATATATATACATATATATATATACATATATCAATATATATATACATACATAATATATATATATATATGTGTATATATGTTTATGTATGATATATGTATATACATACATAGATACACACATAGATACATATATATATATATATATATATATATACATGCATAGATACATAGATACATAC